ACTAGCAGTAAGCATTTTCTTGCATTTCTATTTATAATTTAGGGTGCGAAATAACCCGGAATAAACGGGAATAACCCAAAATAACCCGAAATAACTCGAAATAACTCGAAATAACCCGAAATAACCAAAAATAACGTACAAATTAACTGTAATAAACTTAATCTATTCAAATAATTGGCCGATAAGACAATATGCGATATGATTGTAGAATAATTAACCCCTAATAACCCAAAACTACCCGAAATAACTAAAAAAACATATAAATTAATTGTAATAAACTTAATCTATTAAAATAGTTTACCGATAATACAATATGCGATATGATTGACTAATAACTAACCCAAAATAACCCGAAATAACTCGAAATAACTTAAAATAACCCGAAAAAAAACGTACCAATTAACTGTAACAAAGTTAGTCTATTCAAATAATTGACCGATAATACAATGTGCGATATGATAAATAATTAACTAAAAATAAGCCAAAATAAGCCAAAATAACTCAAATTAACCCAAAATAATCTGAATTAACCCAAAATAACCCAATATAAATCAAAATATCCCGAAATAACGTTAGAATTAACTGTAATAAACTTAATTTATTCAAATAATTTGACCAACAGTTTATAAAAAACCCAAATAAAGAAGAGATTGCATTAAGGGCATTCCGCATAATAATCAAAAAATACTTATTTGAACATTTTGAACATTTTTTCACGTGTTGAAATCATTTCAAAAAGTTAACTTTTATAAAGAATAGTGTTACAAAAAGCAAAAAGTATATTTTATTTACCAAATTTTTATGAATTTAACGAACTTCGTGAGTGCTTTTTGTCGACGTCTTATTTAAAATAATTCTTCATAACTTGCGGTTAGAATTTTTAAAAGCTCTTTTTTCTATATTGTACGACTTTCGTTTTGTATTTATCTTAATATGAATCGATTAAAGAAAGATCAAGTCAGATACCCTTGTTTAATGTGCTTCAAAGAGTGTGGAGATAGAACAATTTGTTGTGGGACATGTAAAAAGTGGGTTCACAAAACCTGCCTTGAGATGAATGACGAATTTTTAAATCAATGGAAAACCCCGAAAATGAGTTTTTTTTGTCAGCCCTGTTGTCATGTTGAGATGAATTTGATTGAAAGAAAAGTCTTACAAGGTATTTTTTAATAATTATTAGTAGGGGAAAGTCGGGTAGCCCCGGACGGCGGGTAACTCCGGACAGTTGATGTACAGTTTAAACTAAAGAAACTATGCAACTTTTAACACTAAAATAATATTATTTGAGTGAAAATTTGGCATATGCAAAATATCTATCATAAAATGCTGAAGCGAATGACTGGGAGGGCAAGATTTTGTTTCCCACCACCAGAAAAGCGACGTATCATCATATTTGATTCACATATTGATATACCTTATTTTTATGTATACTAATAACTTTTTAATGATTAAAGATATATTTTTATTTACAATAGTTATAAAAAAAAATTCGTTAGAAAGTTTAATTCACTGGTTTTAAACTAGTATTTGTGAATGAGGTATGGTCGGGTGGTATTGGATACATGTTTGGAGTGTGGCTCCGGACAACTTAATTCGTTAACATATTATTAATAAATAACTTTTTTTATATAAATATTAATATATTTAATATAGTATACAAACCTATAACAGTAATTTATTTAATTTCAATAAAAAAACATTAGATTTGAAAAAAGTGTTTTTAAAGTGTCTGTTTTCATTATAAAAAAGCTTATGTTTATATTTTTAAATGATGACATTTTCATTCTCATTCCTTATATATCAAAGACAATTTTTAGTCTAATGCTTAATTATTTTATATTACATTTGTTTTACACTATAAAAAAGTGGTAAAATCACGTTTAAACTATATGTCCGGGGCTACCCTCCAATTTTGAAACATGCATTTTTTCTAACATTTTTTCTTTTATGTTTTGTATATTATTAAGATACACAACAACTATTTTTTTGTTTCCAATTTGATAGATGAATGTTTGAACTTTTAAAAAAAGTCTTTTGACACTTTTTTTCTGTTGGCACATGTGCACAATCTATATTTTCCTAAAGTGTCCGGGGCTACCCGACTCTCCCCTACTATTTATTAGGTTTGTTTAAAATACAGGGTACCCATGGAGGCAACTACCAGCAAAGTAAAGCAGGGCTTTTAGAAATTTATTAATGATTTTAATCTATTAAAAATGTTATTGTACAATCGTTTCAAACTTATATTCAATAAAACAAAGAGTGCAAGTATATAATTACAATCGGCATCAAGTTTTGTGAAAAATTTTTTGTTTTTAATACTGACTTATTTAGATTGAAATCTAAGCCAACTTCGGGTCAATGTTTGATCGAGCGTTTATTGCTGAAAATATATATTGTTACTTTACAACATCAACCAT